GTGAATCAAGCACTCAGACCTCTGAGGTGGGGGCACTGGCTTGTGCTCTTGCTGGTGACAGGTGTAATGGGGCTCGAGTGGCAGAAAAGGAGCTGGTGATTGGGACCAACTAACAAGATGCAGAACTGTTGTGGGGGTGACACTGACAGGAACAGGAAGAAGACCGGAAAAAGAAGTTCCCTCTAGAGCATAGAGCATTCTGATGGGAGCTAATGAGCAAAGGAGAAGCGGGGTTGCAGAGTCCAGCCCCAGTGCCACAGAGCAGAGCACAGAAAGGCGGGTTTGGAGTTGAAGGACAATAACTCAATAAAGGGCCATAGAGCATTCTGATGGGAGCTAATGAGCAAAGGAGAAGCGGGGTTGCAGAGTCCAGCCCCAGCGCCACAGAGCAGAGCACAGAAAGGCGGGTTTGGAGTTGAAGGACAATAACTCAATAAAGGGCACAAGAGGTTTATTACCATCATCATCTAAAGGAATGCTCTGACTGAAGCCATAAGCTTTCTGTGTCTTGCAACTGGAACAAGGTGCTTATGCAGGGTCAGGGAGACTCTCGGCATCTTCCTTGAGAACATAGGGAACCTCTGGGTTCTAGCACAAAAGAAAAATAGCCATTCAGCCTCAGTGTATGGGAGCTGCCCTTTATAAGCAAAGAGCCACTCCCTTTGGCATTTTGCTGTCTGTAGGAGAGCCAGATGACCGAAGTCCCGACCCTGTGACACTCTTTGCCTCAGTCTGTGAGAGAAGAAACCATGATCTGTGCAGGAGAGTGAAAGAGATCAGTCCAGAAAATAACTAACTATGCACAGGGCCACCAATGGCAGGACTTATTTGTGTCATGAAAGGTCCCTGCTCAGCTGGCTGCCTGTGTAAACAGGTACGGTAGAGGTGGGGGAATGGGGACATCTTTACTGGAGCAATACATCTCCCAGATTCTCTGAGGATATTTATCCATGTCACAATTATGCCACCAGGTAGAATGAGGAAGAGCAATGCAAAGTAAATTCCCACACCCAGCCAAAAAGGACGGCCTACCTGCTTTGAGTGTTATCTATTTCTTGGAAACCTCAGTGGAAAGGGGCTCTTCCAGTTGAGTGAGTGTAAGTCACCCATGGAGCTGGTGAAAATGCAGATTCCTATCTGCTGCCAAGCAAGAGGCTGATTTGGTAGGTGAGGATCTGCACTTCAACGTGAATCTCAGGTGATTCTGCAGCAGATGGTATTTGGGTGACACTCGGAGGAGCTCTGCTAAGCTGGGCAGTAGGTTCTTCTGCTGTGTCTGACATACCCTGGTGTTTTTTTGCTCTCAGCCACTTGGATGTGTTGTGAGTGCAATGTGACTGTGTGTAAAGTGCTGCAACAGAGCTCTGTCTATGTCAAGACGTTCAAAAGATGACCACAGGGTAAAATTAGAGCACAGGCTTGTTCACGGGGAATTGAATCAGCTGCCTTCAGTCATGAGAGTTCACTGAAAGCTCCTTATGACAGCTTCATTTTAGGAAAGAGTGAGTCTACAGGAAAAGCCCTGGCCTGGAAGATGGGAGACATGGGGTCGGGCCCAAAGTCTAGTGCTCACTTGCTGGGTATCTAGTGAATGCTGGTTCTGCTACTTACCGATTGTGCAGTCTTGGGCATTTTATCAGCCTAATGTCAGCTGTAAAATGAACATTACACCTGCCTTGGAGAATTGTTGTGAGGATGAAATAAAAGATCTATGTGCTTAGCCTGGCACAAATTAGTACTCAAGAAATGGTAGACTAGTCACTATGGTGGTGGTGATGTTGATGAATCTTGGTAGGCCTCAGCTTCATGATCTATAAAATGGGTCGATTGGCCTACGTAACAGTCAGAATTTCCATCTAGCGCCATCATCCCTTGGTTCTCTCAATCCCATTTGGAGATGGACAGGACAGGCTTGGTGCCTCAGCAGCCTCGAGATGGAGGTTGTCTGGTAGGTAGAATTGGACTCAAGTCTCTTTAGGAGAAACCTCCATTTGACCTTGTTTCTCCTGTCACTGCTCAATCTCTTGTAAATCACCCAGCTCTGCAGAACCTTTCTCAGCAAGTTGACAGCCACAAATAACAGACTCAGTACTCTCAGTTTTGATCATGCTGTGATGCGGAAAACCAGGCAGATGTTAGCTAATTGACAATGTTCTGTGGGGAGTGCACGGCCCCAGGCCCTGTTTCCAGGGCCATTGAGGTAACTATAATGCTTTCCAGGGGTCACTGGACACAGGGCCCAACAGGCTGGTTCAGATCCCCAGATTGGCATCCCACTGCTAAGGATCAAATACTTCCCAATAAGTGATGCTGCAACTTTGCTCTGGGTTCAGCTCAGACACTTCTCCCCAGAGCACAAGGGCACAAACAATACAGATGGACTCTGGTTTGAATCCTAGCTCTGTTTTGTGCTAGCTCTGTATGACCACCAGCAAGTCACTTAACCTCTGCATTTATTTCCTCACCCGTGAAATGGGGATGATAAATGGTGTGTACTTTATAGGGCTGTTGTGAGAGTTAAATAAGCTAATGCATGTAGAATGTTCAGCACAGCACCTGGCTTATAGTAGATGTTCAGTCTTTTTTTTTTTTTTTTTTTTGGGGTTGGGAAAAATGCTTTAAACAAATCCTGATGATAAGAAAAGATAATTCAGCTCCAATAAATATATTGTCCACCTAAGGACCAGTTGCTATAGCACCTCTTGTGCCTGGAACTTGGATGCTCGGACCATGCCAGTTGGCAGTGCTCCTGTGGGCACACAACTGAGAGGTTCCTAGACAAGTACTTGTCCCCAGACTCAGGAGCTAGAGGTCTAGTGGGGTGCCTGGTATGGGAGGTGAGAAACTACTTGGGAAATGGGCAGTGCTGTTATGGTCTGTCAAGGCCTTATGAAGAAAGAAGATTGATTTATGTTTCATCACAATCTGAAAAAAATGTTTCTATGCCAAGTTAGATTTGTTTGTTCATCTCTTGGGCCAGGGCCATGGGAATTGGCATCCTGATAGCGATTCTGGGAATTTTACTGCTCATCGGCTGCTGGTATTGTAGAAGACGAAGTGGATACAGGACCTTGACGGTGGGTATAGTTCCCACTGCTGGAACTCCTCCAGATCCACAACTCTTTCTACTTCTTTCTCTGAATTTCTGGGGAATGGGATAACATTCTTAGGATCTCCTCTAGCTCTCATTCCTGCTTCTGATGAATCTTTTGCTAGATTGTACTTCTTGCAACTCTTTTCCTCCAGATCCACAACTCTTTCTACTTCTCTGAATTTCTGGGGAATGGGATAACATTCTTAGGATCACCTCTAGCTCTCATTCCTGCTTCTGATGAATCTTTTGCTAGATTGTACTTCTTGCAACTCTTCCTTTGCCTCCACCCAGGCATGAACCCCAACTAGGAACTTGCCTGGTGTCTTAGTTTGTTTTGTGCTTCTATAACAGAATATCAGAGACTGGGTAACTTGTAAGGAAAATAAGTTTATTTGGTTTATGGTTCGGGAGGGTGGAAAGTCCAAGTTGGTGGGGCTGCATCTGGTGAGGGCGTTCTTGCTACATCATAACATAGCAGAAGGCATGATGACATGGGTGAGAGAGCATGAGAAAACAAGAGGAGGTCGCACTCAAGTATATAACAAGCCCATTCTCATGATAACAAACTCATTCCCACAATAACAAACTCATTCCCACAATAATGCGGGCAGAGCTCTCATGACCTAATCCTGTCTTAAAGGTCCCATCTCTCAACACTGTTGCATTGGGGATTACATTTCCAGTGCATAAACTTTAGGGGACACATTCCAAACCATAGCACTCTATCTCTTTGGTTCTACTCACAGCAAAATGAGTACTTGGCTGTTGTGTGTAGCTGAGCACTGATGGTTTGCGGGGCACAGGGAAAGGTGTTCGTGGTCTTCTTGCACAGCAGACAGCAGTATGTTAGGCACCTCAGGTCTTACCAATCCTTCTAGGGATTCTTGCTGGTTCTGCTACTCCACTTAGTGGCCCACTCCTATCTTGTCTCTTTCCTCCTTTCCTCCCAGGTTACTTGGGAATTCCAAGTTCTTCTAACTTTTTTATACTAAGCAGCCCAGGATATCTAAGACCTCTCCTGACATCAATGCAATGAGAAAACCATCTTCCCCTGAGCAGCACAAAGGATCACTGTTATTTGTTTATTTTTAAACAGGCTCCATCCTCCTTACATGGCCAATATGGTTTTAATCATATCTTTCTTCTTTATCCAAATAAGTAGGAAGCTAACACGATGACATAGTCTAGTCTTCTGACACCAGGATATTCCACAAATGGGAAACATCAACTGAGTCTATAAACTATAAAAACTACAGGTTCCACAACCTCACTTCAAAGCCAGGTAGCACTTTAGCACTTAAGCACCCAAAGGCATTCTCCATATTGAGTGATGCAATGAAAGGAGAGTTGCAATTCTCTCTCTCTGTCTTTCCTGTTATTACAAATCTGAAAGCTTTTCAGGTTGATGCATAATGGAAAAAAAAGTATCTGTACAGAAGATTTTGGAAAGTCCCATTCCTCATTCAGAGGAAAAGGTCCTGTGAAGAAGAGGAGGGCTGGTGTGGGTGGGGGTTTGGAGCTTGGCAGTACGATGAGGAGATAAAGAAGGTGAGTGATGCAACTTCAAATTCTTTCCCTCCTTGCCAGGAAACTTGGGCAGTCTCATGTCTTCTCTTCTCTAATGTCCATCTTGCCAGTGTCCCAAATACAAACTGTGAAAGGCAGGACAAGTTTGGAGCTGACATACCCACCGAGCAGATACTTCTCCCTTCTCTTTATGAACTGGGACAGAGAATATTTCATATTTATCTCTGTACCTCCAGTGCCTAACACAGTGCCTGGCACATAGTAGTCACTCAATTGTATGGCATCAAGATTTAGTCTCACTGTCTGCCACTGACTTTCAGTGACCTTAGATTTTGATTTTTCCAAGTCTCGTTAGCTCTATTCTACACCTAGACGTGGTAGAAACACACGTGATATAAGACAATATATCAGTTTTTATTTAACATATATTTTCTATATATGTATTTCATTATATATCAAAAATCCAATGATTTAGTCTTTCAAGGAGTAAAAGCTATACAAACTTAATATGTTGGTACTCATTTCCTACCAATCCATGATTATTAGCTTTATCCACACAAAGACATTGATTTTTCTCCTTTCTGCTTTAATGCTCTCATCTTAAATTTATTCAATTTAAGAATTTTTTTAAAAAAAAATATGACTGGTAAGGGGATCTTAACCCTTGACTTGGTATTATCAGCACCACACTCGCCCAAGTGAGCCACGGGCCAGCCCCAATAACAGAGTCTTAATGTCTTGTGCTCAGACACTGTGAGCATTTTGCTTGGTAAGGTTCAAGTTCACCCTACCATGCCTCCATTCCTCTAGGTCTAGATCAGTGGTTTGTAGAATTTCTGGAATTTTTCTGAGATAGAAATAAGGTTAAATCCTCTGGTTCCCATAGTGCCTAAAAAATGCTCTCTGTCAAATTTATTTTTTAAATTAATATTAAAGTCTTGTTTGAGACTTTCATATCTACAGAAAAGCCAGACTGGGAATCAACAATCTAAGACATTTAGGCAAAATTATGTAAAATATTGCATTAAGTACTGCACTTAGTTACATAATTACCTTCCTTTCTCTCTTGGTGATTCTATTTCCATTTTAAAGCAGAAGAACATAAATGACAATAAATACAAGCTTTGGGTATCTAAACTACTCCACCTTTAGCAACCCTCATTAAACTTTGAAATGCCTGCTTTCCAACTTTCATTGACCACAGAATGGTAGTGAGGTTGGTTGGAATTTAGATCTCCTAAAGTTTCTCCCTTGGTGAACAATTCCCCTGAACCTTGAAAAACACCTTTTGAAAGGAAAGACTGCTTTTTGCAGCAACATGTTTCTGCAGCAAGGAGTGGGAAATCATCTGTAAGGAACTGGACGTTTTGATTCTTGAAGAATTTCAAGTCCCCTGCTGAAAGATCAGCTTACACTCCTGTCTCAAGGCACTGTGTTTCTCAATGCATAGTCAGGGCCAACCTGCACTAGAATCATCTGGGGTTCTTGCTACAATGAAGATTCTGGGACCATCTATGGTGGTGAGATCCAGGAATCTGCATTTTAACATGAACATTGAGTTTGAATGTAAATACAGAGAATTGGCAGTGAACTGGGTGAGTGCATCACACCCCATCCTATGGCAGGTGAGAGACTTTAAAAAAAAGAAAAAAGGAAAAAAGTGATAATTGGCAAGTATAGTTTTATTTCTTCCTTCACAATCAATATACATTTTATGTCTTTTTTTTTTCTTTTTCCTTTTTTTTTTTTTTTTTATTTTCTCATTACATTAGCTAGGACTCCCAGTAT